AAAAAAAAAAAAAAAGAGTATGTCGCATTGAATTTGAAAGATAATATAAATTTTATAGAAAAAAATATAACTACATGAGTATAATAAAAAGAGGATTACATGGATAAAAAATAAATAAATAGAAAAACAATATTAAAGTTTCAAGGAAGTAAGTGTAACATGTTCCATATAGTATGTATTATGTAGGATGGGCAAAAGAGATTAGTGGTATATATCTAGAGTATTCCATTCAATACTTACATTTACACATTAATAGATAAATCCGTTAAACTTTTGATGAACATTTTAAAAGAAATACAATTTTATTGTAATTTTTTTATCTCCACTCTTATATAAATAGGTATGTATTTCACTCAAGTTTATTATTCAGATACAGTTAATAGAAAAGTAAATGTGAAGGTTTTAGATAATTTATTATTGTGTAAAGTTTAGTTATTAAAAAAAATGTATATCATTATAATATTTTCCCTTTAACTGATTGATCAAAACTTAAAACTTCTATTTTGTTCCCGGCCCTAAGCCAGTGGTGGTTTGCTACTCTATTTTGGTTCTTATTGTTGAGCCTGTTGGAGCTACTAAAATAATGTTAAAATCAAATTACATTAAATAAAATAAAGTATATAATTAATTAAATAAAATAATATTTATATTTATTTATTAAAATATTTTTGTAGCATTTTCTAAAATATTAATCAAGTTAACCATCAATTTGTAATCCAACTTTAAATTTGAATTTGTAATCAAACCTACTCGCCACAATCATGTGTTTATAAAAGAACCTTTGAATTTAACAACTACTGTATATCTAAAAATATTAAAATTATATCACATTCTATAGTTAGTTTTCTAATAAAATTTTATTTTTAAGTATACAATTGGTAGGAAATTACATACTATACAAAACATTATTCATTCAACCTTCAAGCATCATAAAAAAGGAGAGGAACTGATTGATTCAGAACATTAACCTTTGTATGTACAATTAAGATGGTTTTTTTGTTCTACTTCGTCTAACAAAAGATTGAGCTGATGCAATGAATAAATACATGGAGAGTGTCCAACTTGCCTTCCATTTCTAGATCTCCATGCAGTATCCATTGCAAAAAATGGACCAAAAACTTTTTGGCCTACATAACACGAGCATGAGTCCGTAAAAAATCGGGCAGGTCAACCTACAAACTCTTCTGAAAATGCCAAATCAGATTGTTACATCACGGATTATGTTCAACGAGTTCGGCAAAAGTAGTAATTACACAATGGGCTGTGGAAAGTATGGAAAAACGTTAACTAGTTTATATGTGAGAACTCCGATCCTTGGTTTGGCATGGCTTAATAATGGGTAACATTAGAACTCGTCGATATTCTGATCTCACATTCTAATACTCACTGACAGAGTTTGTGAGGCCTCATATGAGCATTTCACTGAAAAAGGTCACATCCGGATCAATTATATCCTCCAAATGTTGCCATGATCTGTCTTACATGCGTAAATGTAGAAACATCGATAATATTGTGTACTACTTCGATAGGCTGGTGTTTAGAGTCGACCGATATAATCAAATTTTTTGCGCTCCAATCTAGAAAGGTGTAGTTGAAAAGTTCAATCCACAATTTACATAGATACTCAGCCATGACGCTTTAATCTTTTATCGTAATCAACGGGCTTAAAATACAATCAACAATCATGCCAAATTTGTTTTACAGTCAGTATTCATTTTTACAGTCAATCATCAGCCATGACGCTTTAATCTTTTATCGTAAAGTAGCTAGTAATTATGTCTTCCACAGAAAGATCAATTTAAGTAGTTTATGGATAAACTTGGATGAGCGACCTCCGTCCCAGTACACGCGCGTTAATCTCGTAGCTCGTGAAGCCGGCTTCGTAAAAGAGTTTCGTCCATTCTTTCTCGGTTCTTTCCTTTCCCCCGACCAAAACCATCATCTCCAGATCAAAAAAGAGCTGAGTATCCACTGCCATCGCCTCATCATTAATCCCTTTCTTCTCCTCCTCCACAACAATCTCCACTATTATCACCTTCCCTCCATTCTCTCTACTCGGTATAGCTTCTTTGCATCTCTTTAGTATTTTAACACAATCCTCGTCCGCCCAGTCGTGCATCACGCACTGTGCTCGACCAATCGTCATGTAATTTTTCACGCCAAAAACAATAAAAATCACATAAATATATAAATCGGAATAAACTTTAGTAATTAAAAATCACCTTCATGAACACTGCATCAGCTTGAGGAATAGACTGAAACATATCCCCACCAACGAAGCTCAAATTTGGAGTCCCTTCCAACCCATCCACCACATGCGAAAGCTCGAGCACGCTGCACTTCAAGCCCGGGAAGGCATCCGCTATAGCCTCGGCCATAGCCCCTGTGCCACCCGCCACATCCACCACCGACCCCAACCCTCGAAATACGTGCCCCCACTCCCTAACGATCACACTGGCCGTTAGCCGCGCATCACTAGCCATCCCCTCGTTAAAAGACCGATTTATCCCCGGCTCGTTAGCGGCAATATCCCAAAGCGTTACACCATGGGTCGTCTCCAGGGGCGTGGGGTCGTCGTTCGAGAACCACTCGCTAAGACGGTGCCACGGGTCAGTGAGGACCTGGCTGAGCGTCATGTGCACAAACGGGGCCATGCTCAGGGGCTCATTTGTCACGAGGAGGCGGGAGGCCGGGGTTAGACAGTAGCCATCCTCCGTGTCAGTGACTTTGACTTTGGTTAGCAGCTGGGAGTTGACCAGCACGCGCACGAGGTGACATAAGCAGGGGGATCTCGAGCCGTTGATGTTGAGGGCGTCGGTTAGTTGGGAGATTGTGACGGGGCCGTCGTGTTTGTGGATGATGTCGGGGAGGCCTAGCTCGACGGCGCATTTTAAAGACATTGAGGTTATGAAGCATAGGGTGTGATTCCAAATGTGGGCTTGAGCCTCGAGTAGCTCATGACTCGAGTTTATCCCGTTAGGCAATGTCATTTTTTTTTTTCTTAAAAAAAAAAAGAAATGAAAATGATAGTGTTTAATTAATTTGTGTGATAATGTGTAATTGTTTGCTATTTATACGGGTTTGCGGTGTGGTATACATGTATGTATCATGTATGCGGCGTTTGAGTTGTGCACGACTTTTCAACGGTCTCCGTACAGTAGAAAACGTAGGCTACATGATCATATTAATTTGAGTGTGAACTTGACATTATCATTTTTATTTCTAATTTTATTTTACGTAAATGTATTTATGATCACGCATCGGTGAGAATAATCGTGAATAATGCTAAGTGAAAAATGTAAGAATAAATCATAATCATTAGATCGAATGATTCAATAGCTAAAAAATATCAAAATTATACATTCAATAAAGGTAACTAATTAGACATTACATCAGTCCACAAACAGCCACCAATACACATTAGTGGGATCCAAAACCCGTCACACGTCTCTCTCTCTCTCTCAAAAGTCTTAGGAGGATGTTTCCTCTAAGATTTTAAAAGACATTTCTAATTCTTCATATGATTTGTTTTTTAAGTTTAAGGTGAGATTTAAAATGAGACAAATCTTAAAAAGTATTGGTAAATGTCAAGTGTCAAATAAATTAAACAATTTCTTAAGATTTTTTGAACTCTAAAATGAATACGATCATGACATTTAAAGCTTTAAAAAAGTTCAAATTAAATACATGAGTATTCCTCAAATCCCAATAAATCTTTAAAAATCACAAATAAATACACCCCCTCCCCTTTAGTCTGACCGTTTTGGTTTACATTTGCGTATCGTTGAGCCGAACCTATTAGAGGTAGCTAGAGTGTTCAGTCTGTATAAACCGAATCGAACAAAACTAAATATTCAGTTTAAGTTTCAGTCCAAACCGAATTTTTAGTTTCTATCGATTTGACTCGGTTAATCATATTTTGTGCACCCCTAAAGCTAGCTCACTTTTATAACTGTAAATAAAAAGTTCAGTACATTTACTTTTTTCTTGTTATAGGAAAAAAATAACTTATTTAATAATATATTTTTTTTATTCGAAAAGATTATCAAATTATTATGTTACTATCATATTTAGTAAAATATATAACAGAAATACTTATTCTTTTGTAAGAAACAAAACATTATATTATTTTATTTAGAGTTCTATTTTAGGGAAACGCAATTTAACTTAAATTAGGTGTTTAT